TTCTTAGTACTCTCCACACACATGCAAGTAAAGTTATTACATAATCCAATAGAATCATAAATTAAAATTAATTTATTTTCAGAAAAAGCCCTGCCATTTGAGTGTTGAGATTTGAGGAAAATATATCCCATAGTCTCTTCAAAGGAGAAATTTTATGAAGGATGAAGAAAGCCATGACATGAATAGCATTACTATAGCAAATGCAGCATGAGTTTCTAGCATCTATAACACAAATCAATGTAAGCTGATGGCATCGATTCAAGCTGTGCTTCAGTACAAACACTTCTACAGAGTAAATACAAAGCTTTTAACAGTCTTGCTTAAACCATTGATAAAATTTAAGCTAAGTGGATGAATGCAAAGGATTCATGTCATTTGGGCAATCTTCCCTCACAACTGTATTTTGAAACTACATTGCTGATCCACGGTGGCTTGCCGAGATTTTGAGGTATATATTCTAGAATGAGTACCAGACCACAAATGCTTGTTGTTCCTCTTAAGGCCATAGCCATTGTTTAAAAAAATACATACATTTGGAAACTCTCAGAAGCTGAGATGCCTCACCAGAACATGTTCCTGAACAGGCTACTACTGTACTTACACAGAGGAACACAAAAGGGGATCTATAAAATAATGCCAAGGACTTCCTCAGGGGAAAAAAAAAAAAACTATGATTTTATAGATAACTTACACAGAAGTCTGACGAGAAGCCAACATCTGATCCTAGTCACAACGCTAAATCACTAAAAAAAATAAATAAATAATAGAGTATCCTTAAAATATTTAATTTCAATCTACACTTAACAATGTATTCCTAGGTAATTCAATAATCATTGGGCTCTAATTCAAAGTGAGAGCAAGAGTCAAGCATATAGTTTATGATGATTTATTTTAAATCATTCTCCCTTACAATCATTAGTTTGACATCAACCTCAAAAAACCTCTGTGATGTGAGCAGTAGCTTTAATTTCCTCTGGTCACAGACTTGTAAACTAAGCTCAGACACTTCATGAAAACTGCCAAAGAGACATCTCTATTGAGTAGGGATGGAGGAATACTAACTCTCGACCTGGGAGTGAAATAAGTGAAAAAGTCTGTCTTTCTTTCAACAACTTAGGACAGATAGATAAAACTAATAGACTTTAGAAGCTGGAAAGAATCTTGGGTTTATTTTACTTTGCCCTATTATTTTGCAGATGAACTAAAGGACAGTGAATTGTTGTCTTCAAGTTCATATCGTAGTTAGTGATAGAATTAAAAGAGAATCATATCATCGCTTTTCCTGAAATTAAATTTCTTTACATAATGATCCCCTTAAATTAAGAAAACAAGGAGCATAAAACAAAGTCAATGTCAAATAGTATTGAGTTACATAAATAGTGCTGAGTCTTAAATAAAATGATCTAATTGAAATAGGAGAGAAAAACATAAGGAGAGACAGAAAAGAGACTAACAGAGCTAGGAAAAAGAAACTATAACTTTAAATCTAAGAAGCTCTATGGACACCCTCATCTTTGCTCCCCGAGCCTATTTTCTTCCAAGCCTAAAATCCTACCAAAAATAAATAAATAAAAACCAACATACACTGCTAACTTACACTATGTATTTTCTTTAGACTAAATAAAGCCAACGGAAATATTATTGGAGACTTATGGGTATATTTCAAACATTATCTGTTGGCTGGATGAGATTAATTTAGGGACCCTGAAAGAACTAGTTCACCTTGACCTGCCCTGGGCTTCATGATGAAGACAATTGAGCCCACTCAGTGGACATCACCCACTTCTACTTCCCATGTTCACTATTTAGAGTTTTCTTAAAAAAGAAGAGCCCAAGGCATGTCTCCCTGTACTCCTTCTCCTTTGCTCTTTGAGTTTGTAGCCCATTCTATTGCTTGCTTTTCTGAATAAATCTACTCACTTCCCTGAATAAATCTTGGTTTGAAATTCTTTTAAGACATCCTGAAATCCTTTGCTTGGTATAAGTCAAGAACTTATCAGTGATGGGCATGGCAGTACACCCATGTAAGTCCAGCAGCTCCAGAGACTGAGACAGGAGGAATTCAAGTCTGAGGCCATCCTCAACAATTTAGGGAGGTCCCAAGTAACTTAGTGAGACCCTGCCTCAAAATAAAATAAATTTATTAATAAAGAGGGCTGGGGATAGAGCTTGGTGGTAAATTGCTCTTGGGTAAAATCTCCCGTACCGCACTCCACCACACATACCACACACACACAAAGAACTGTTAGGACGAAACTGAAATCCCATTTCTGAAGGACCTCCTTGGCCTCCTATCTGATGACATAATAATGTGTATAAAGGCTATTTCTCTGTATTAAAAAAACACCGAGGAATAATAGAGTAATGACAGACAAGAACTGTCATCTTTTCCAACCCTGGTCTGCAAGCAGTCGCCATGCTAAAACACCAACTGACATCTCTAGAGTCAGGATTCTCAAACTATTTAGGGAAAATTTTTAGATATAATGGGATTTTTCATTTTCTTCATTATTTTAATTTTTAATTAAATTAAACCCATAAGGAAGGATGTTAAAATTACTGCATTAGGTCCCATCATATCCCAGTGTTCTGGGGTCTCCCTTAGAGACACAACTATAAAAAACAACAACAACAAAAAAAAAGTCTAACCTCCTTTTCATCTGATATTGATAAAAATAATTATAGGGAATAATCATTATCTCAAATGCTTTAAAATTTTGTCTTCTCTAAATAAGCCATACCCAGTCTTTTGAAATCCTCAAATTCACTATTATGTTCTTCCTCAGTTTGTACTGAGCTTTTGGGCATGTTCTATTCAGAATACTGATTTATTTTACCACCCCTTCTCTGAAGCGCATGTTAATGCTGTCTGCATTCTCATTGCACGTTGGCTGTCACATTGGCAATAATTACCTTCTAAATTTGAATCATGTAATATCTCTGCAATATTCACAATACTTTTATTTCTTAACTAGTATTATGGGAAAGCATTTTTGAGTAGCTTTAAAAACTCCTCCAAAGATTTTGAGGAAATAAAGATAGTCTCCCCTCCCCCCTCCTCATTGTTGAAGGCTACTAATTAACTCAGTACCTGGGACAGGGGAAAAGTTATCATCTCACTTATCATTTCAAATAAAGACTTGACTGTGTAGACAAAGGAAAGAGGACCAGTGTTTCAGGAAGAAGGGACTGAAAATGAATGTGCAAGTGAGCTTAATTGTTAGAACAAGACACTAGAGGATAGGGGACCAATCTTTTCATTTCATTTACACTTTTGTTAAAATGGAAGTTCTCCATGTAGAAAAATTTGCATATGGATTTGATAATACTTAATAACCCCTTCTAAATCACATGAAATATCAATTTTCTAACTAAACTCTAATAATTTCATAAACTAATAATGTGTGTTTCACTTTTAGCTGATAAAGAAAAAACAGTGCCTTCCTATATGCTGTCAAGGTACATCAGAAAATGGCCAGTGTTCTTGGTTTCACAATAGGAGACAGACTGTAGAACTTCACATACATTTTACAGCAGAAAAAAAGAGGTTAACTTACCAGGATTACTTACACTGACTAAAGGAACTATGAAAGAGTATTCAAAGAAATATTCAAAGAAGCAATTACATTTCACAGTGCCTTCAAATCATTTCACATTTATCATATTTTAAGTGCCATTAAATATTCTTTTTGATTGGAAGAGCCCTGCAAATGACAGACAGTTTTGTGCTGTGCAAATTAGCAGTTTTCCCTAATTTTCTTCACATGACAGTCAATTCTTTCCCTATTATCTCCTCCAAGTTAACATAATAGAGACCTGTAAAATGGAAGCCATATGCCTCATTGTGCAGTTCAAGATTTAAATTTTATCAATGATGCTTTTATTTTAAATGTGACCAATTCTATGCATTTTGCATCTAAATTCTCCCCATTACTTCTGGAAATCTATTTCTTTTTCTTTTTTTCACTCAAGATATATGCATGGAGAGTGTCAGTTTCCTTTGGACCCTGATATGCTCCTATAGACTAGTGTGTGTGTGTGTGTGTGTGTGTGTGTGTACATTTTTGTGTGTGCACTCACATTTGAATCTGGGTAGACCATTTATGCACGTCATTCCTTCTTTGCTGCTAATATTTGAGACTCATGAAACTAGCTACAAATAGGCATGTTCTCTTTCAAGAAAAATGTAGTTTTTCAGAAGAAAATTTTATGTGACTGCTTCAGTTTTTAGTGATGCAGTTCCATGTGTCTCCCTTTATTTGAATTAAGTGAGACATTTCTTAAGTTACTAGGTATGCCTTACCTTTCTAGGCAACACTGGATTCAATTCCTTTCTCTATAATTTTAGGTTGTAAGAAGAAAAAAGGTGATTGGAACTGCTTCAATATATAATCCAACAACTGAAAACACACACACACACATACACACACTACACATACTCATATCTGTAATGCATAGTAAAAGACCACAAGCCAAGAAAGGGAGAAAAACAATAAGAAAGTCACCCACGTACACATACACATCATACTGAAGGCTACTAGTCCCATTAAGACTAATAGGGAGAAAGACATTCAGAGGTAACTCAGCTTGCAATTTAAATTTATAATATTTTTATCTCCTATATCTGTACTATATCACATACATATGCCATAGTATTAATAAAGAAATATCTTCAGCAATCACACATTCTGTGCAACATTTGAATATGTTAAAATAGTGTCTTAAAGGACAGAAGTAACATTTACCAAATATAAACAATATACAGACTGTATGAAATATATTCACATAGACATATATAATACAATCCCAGCAGTGTATTCCCAATATTCCAATAACTTCCTCCAGTCCTTTTGGGGCTCATAAACTAAAGGGATTGCATAATGAAAAATATGATGAAATAAAATTACCTACCTTCTATTTGTAAAGAGAGTAAGTTTTAAGACACAAAATAATATTTCATTTTGTCCCCAAAATACAATTAAAATAAATATGACACATACGTCTTATGAGTAAAAATCCACTGGACACTTCAGAAGCACAAGCAGCTCATGATGCAGCTTTCTAGCGGCACTCTTCAATTCCTATAAATAAAAAGGTGAAAGATAATATTCAGAGCAATCTATGTCTTTGTAAAATGATGGTGATTAACTATGAATTTTTTATTATCACTCCACACTGCCATTTAAAAAGCACTCCCTCTGTATTGCTGTTATCGTAGTTCTTGTTAACTGTACAACACAGCAATGAAAATTATGTCTGTCTGGGACTTCCAAAACACTAAAATAGACTCTAGATTATGAAGCACTGCAAAAAAAATAAATAAAACCACTCAATTTCATGTTATTCTACAGAGGAAGGTTGTTGTACTATGAAAACAAAAGCATTTGTAATTGAAATGCTTTCTTATTATATATGCATCACCACTTAAACATTTTTCTAGTAGTAACAGTGTGTTTTAAGAAGTAGAGGATTTGGGCTTCTTACCCAGTTTTTACTGTTGATTTCTTTATCAAGATGTTAGGCAGAATTCTTACTTTATATCCCATAATGTTCCTGTAGCAGGTTCATAAAATGTGGGAAATGATAATCATCTGTTTTATAAGTTGATACGAGCTTATCGAACGGGTGATTTACCTAATGGATGACTTATCATATTTCACATTTTGTGAGTCTTCTCCAGGAAAACTAAGGGATACAAATTAAGAAGAATTTCCAAAATAATAAAGTAATATCCAGGACATACAGTAAAAATTCCATAATAACTCAACTTTTGTAATTTATTTCATTTATCTGTGGAAGTAACTCTTTATAAAAATATCATCTACTTCCAGAAGAGCAATAAAATGATACATAACAGAAACATGTATTTTTCTCCTCTCCATTTTCTCTTCTGAATGTACACCATAAATAGACTGTTAGGGCAGATTGGGAAATGTGTTGCATTCCTCTTCTGCATCCTGATCCCCTCCAAGTCTCACATACTTGCTTGTACATTCAGGCACAAATGCCAGTCAATCAGAACCATGGACATCTTTCTACTTCCCTTGTCCACATCCCATCCATTTCTATAATTCTGTAAGCTATTGGTACCAAAGAAGGTCAAGAGGGGCAGGGAAATGATTGAGGGAAAATTTTAGTCCTAAATAAGAAGTATAGCTTTGTCAAGGCACATGTAGCATGTTAGAACAAATATAAATGAGCATCTTCTTATTCCATTATGAGAAGCCATAATAAAAAGTCAAGCTTTCAGAGCTGGGTGCATACAAAATACATTAACCAATCCAATGTTTTTAAAAGCTACTTATGGAAAATAAATAAGTAAATAAATATATAAATAAATACATAAATATATATGCCTACATCTCCTATGTGTTTTTTCTCTTCCTTTTGTTAAACCTTCAATGTTAATGAAAGCTCACAGTAACAAGCGTTGTATTAGGTGCTTTCATCTACCCATATTTAATAATCAGGACATGCACAATGTCATACTTTGGAGATAATTACCATTGTCTCATAGATAGATGGATAGATAGATAGATCAGAATACAAATCCTAAGCTGAAAGTAGCATTTTCCAGAAGATAAAGAATTTCCATCTGAATTTTAAGATCTATAATTTTAATTTGCTTAGAATATTATTAAATGTATAAATTATGTATGGAAAATTAATGTGTCATGTATTATATATATATGTATGTATATGGAAACTTATTAAACAAAATCTATTTTCTAGTTTCTTGAAACTTCCATTCTAGCATTTTGAGGGATATAATTAAATTAATGTGCAGGCGACAAGAACTGGATGATTTAAATGTTTTTTTATCAACATTTTGTGGTTGTTAAATAAAAGTGAAGTTCTAAATAAAAGATTTACTTTTTTTATTTGTTATTTTGGCCCTTTATTTAAAGGATGCTATTAAAATACAACACAGCATGTTTTTCCATTAATTCTAAAGTTTAGATTTATGCTAGAAGGTTCAAGAAAATATGATATTTGATATTTTAAACAAGGTAATTTTGCACAAATCTGATTGAATTAATATATCTATAACAAATTGATATAATAGAAATGACATTTCCTGGACACATATTAATTCAACATTACTTTTTCATTAGGATAAATAAAATGGAATATGCCATTCATCCAATCTTAATTCTAACATAACAACATACCTATATAATTCTTAATCGTAATGTCACAAAATAATCAAATTTATACTAAGAATTGAGCTACATATTTATAAGTTTAATATAGTATATTAGTTATACAGTATACTAGATCAATAAGGGAAGATAGAGAAGATAGAAAAATGTATTCACTGAGTAATTTTGATAATTATTAATAAAAAAAAATTTAATATTAAAACATATTTTCCAAGTTAAAACAAATAAAATATAACGACAGCATTGTTTGATTCTCTGTATATATTCCACTTATAGAATCCTGCAAACCATACCAAAAGAGAATCTTGCACTTTAAGTGTACTGTATCCTATTTTAGCATGGAGTGCACATTGCTGGCTTTTCAATAGAGAAAAAACAGTAATAAAATAAGACATTTTTGATTCTACTTTAAGTTGCCTGGTTTTAAACTGCTCAGGTTTATGGCTCCCAACAGAATGATGAGGATTTTGCTCTGGATTGCTTTGGTGGCACACATTTCCCTTTGTTCTTGGCTTTCTTAGAGATGTACATGATAAGGATATCAGCATTTTTATTTGCTTTAATCTTTCAAAACCCAAGTGTGATAGCAATAAACTGTTCACTTTTTATTAGGTCAATCAAGTTAAAACTTTTTATTCTGACTGAACTTTTAAAAAGTTGAAATTCTACTATAATTGCATATTTTGCTAGTAGACCACATACTTTCTTTGGTCTTAAAAGATAGTTCTATGAACTGTAGCTCTTTAAATTGCATATGTAACATACACAACAATTTTTGTACCATATAGCCATTTAAATAATAAAATTTACTGAATGAATAATCATATTCACAAGACTGTTCTAAGTACTTTGCATCTATTTCCTCACTTAATTCTCAAACCAATCCCAACATATTATTTTTATCCCCAGTGAAAGCACAGTGAGACAGAGCACAATCCCAAAGCAGTTTCAGAGAGATTAAGAAAATGACACAGCTGGGATTTAAACAAAATATCTGTATACTCCAGAGCTTCAGCTATAGCAATTGCTATAGGACAGCTGATTAAAGATATCGATAGTGAAATTCTAATAACAATTCCACATAAGTTATCCTTAACCATATTAACCACATTTAAACACAACATATCAAACCATAGACATATATGTGAGGTAGTAGAAACAGTTTAGTGAAAAATAACAGAGACCCATCTCTGAAGGCATGAGCTGTGCCTATTTGGTTTACCACATCTTCACAACATCTGGTAGAGTACTAACTATGTAATAAACCAGTACTCCAAAAATATCTGTCATATGAGGGAATTAGTAAATAAGGAAACTTGCATGCACTTGGTGGTTCTGCACATCTCAGCTGGAAAGTACAAGTAGCATGCACACTAAGCAGGGAAGCTAGCTAGATGTGGTATATATTTTCACTGGATTCACACCTTCTTTCCTAACCATCAACTACATCATCCAGTACTCTCTCCATTTAGCCCAAGTCACCTGAGTTCTAGCTAAAACTGCCTATATGCATATTCATTCAAGTCTTATTCTATGCAAGAGTCATTTAATAAATTATAACAGTAAAGAAAAAAATCTATTGTAATTACATTTACTATAGGTCCATTTTGACAGAGGATTTTGAGAGAAACTGTTGATATTAATTCTAACGCTGGGAACATCAGGCAAGAAGACAAAAATCCAGAAACCAATGTCCTGAGCTGTTCTGTGTCCCTCCTCCTCTCTCATCTCCCCAGATGCATCCTGAATCCATCTATCTGTTAACCGTTTCCCTGTTGGCTGCAGTACAATCTATTCTCTTTCTCTTGGATTACTCCCAAAGTCTCCTAGATAGTCTTTCTGCTTGTCATATTGTCTTTCCAATCCATTCTCTACATTCCAGTCAGAATTATCTTAAAACCATCAGTTGAAACATAAATCTCCATGATTTTTTCCCATTATATATGGATATATATACATGAATATATATGGATATAAAGGCTTTATGTATTTTTTTATTCTTTCTATTTTATCCCTGACCTAAAAGGCCCTGCCTGGTGTGTTCACAGTCAATCTTTCAGCACCATGTTCTTCTTCACCAGTGCCCATCTGTGCGGACAGCTTCCCTCTATTTCAAGGCCCTTACTTGTTGGCTGTCTTTGTTAGAGCAATCCTTTCCTCACTTCTGCCTTGTCATTTCCACCCTTCTTTAGGTTTCAGCTTCATACCTCCTTTTAGTTGGAAGGCCCTTTCTATATTCTACTATGGCTTCCTGGATTTTTTCTCCATGTTGTTTATCAGAATAACATCATGGTTTTGAGCCTAAGACTTCTACCCGGACCTACTATATGTGAATCCTGAAGGAAACACCTGCCAGACTGCTTGCCTGTGGGGAAGCTGCTTATCCTTGCTGTGTTCCCGTTCCCTTATGTATAAAAAAGATAGAAAATGGTATACCTTAAGAGATGGTTATGAGGACTAGACAAATTAACATGCCTAAGCACTCGGAACACATCAAGTGTCCAAGAAATGTGGCAGTCATGATTCAGAAAAATTATATTTACCTGAATAATTATTTGATTATGTTTATGCCTTTCTCATAAATTTACAACCTCAAGGTGAACAGGAACCACAGCCATATTGTTACTATGAAAAACTTTGTGCCTCCAACAGTACTCAGTTTAAAAAAAAAACTAGGAAAATATTTATTTAGTGATTTGGTTGATTAAATGCAGGTTTCCTAATTGTTAAAAGAAAGATCTCTTTAAAAGAGTATATACTATAGATCATCCATTGGGGGAAGGTAGGTTTTTGATGTCCATAAAATTATATAATATGTGGCAGTTTGCTATACTTGTAGGGAAGATTCACCAGATATAACAGAAATCTTCATATTGTATCCATTCAGCTGTTTCTCCATTCAAAGATATTTGAAAAAT